CTGTCAATAAATCGCACACCATATATTTTCTTCATTTGAAAACTTTCAACAAGATGGATTAAGTATACCTAGATTTCCTATGTATTCGCTTTTTAGAATTAAAATAAAAATATATATATATATATATTTATATGACTAAGTGACTTTGGCTTTTGATATTTAGGTTTATAAAGTGGAGGTTGTTTGAATATGTGAAATAGGCTATAAGATATATAAATGTTGCAAATTTTCGTCGACCACTACTAATGTATTCATATAAATATTTTTATATATGTGTTTACTTATTGCTTTTTATATTTATATTATTTTTAAGGGGATAAGAGAGCTTTTTGTAATTGTGCACTGCTGTCGATTATGGGAAATTAATTAATTGTACTCTTTCCAGATTTCTTTTCGTTGCCTTTCACACAAATTGTTACGCAATCATGTTATATGGATACTGAAGAAAGCTCTCCCACGATATACACTCATCGTCAGCAATTGCAACACGTTCGTTCTCCAACAAATGATGAGACAATGTTAAATGACAACAACAATAATAATAGCCATAATGTTGAGAAAAATGAGAGCCTGAAAATTCAATCACCACATGTATCGAACCATACGCAATTAGTCCAGGTTGACCAGCAGCATCGCAACCATCACTATCCCCACCACCCCCAAGTTAATCATCGGCCACAGTCAAATCAGACACAGCAACAACAACATTATCAAGGTCATTTGCATCGTGCTAATCGTGACGTTAATCGTTGCATGCTATCACACATGATATAGCTTCATTTTCGCCGTGTATCGAATTTTGCATAGGTAAACGATTGCTTTTTTGGTTGTAATAGCGCAACCGTCATTCTCGATCGTCAAAACTAATAGTCTTCGTCGACATTCTAATTACAGATTAAAATCAAGCACTTGAGAAAGCGAACCTGAATGATGCTCTATTTACCTAAAGGTTACAATAAAATTCGCAACTATTTTAACCGCGTCAATAATCAACGCCTGCTGGACTTCTGGTAGTCATAAATTACAAATTAGTAAATCTCCATAAAATCATCTTTTTGCTTTTCTGCTTAGTTTCTTCGTTTTAATTCTCGGTCCTCGCTTTATAGTAAGAAATATTCTGATGTAATCAACTTTTTACGTTAATTTAATTATTATTTTAAATATAATTTGCTGGCGAATTATTGTTTATTGACGGTATAATTAATTAAATGTGTACTTAATTGTTAGCTGAATTTTAGAAAGAATATTGTAAATGTAAGAAATATCACTATAAAAATGTTAGAAAAACCAAAAAGACAAGAAAACAGTAAAAAATTGCATCTTTGTTTGGTGTCTTTTTTTTTTAATTTTTTTTTTTTTTTTATTTTATCTTTCTTTACATTATTTTACAGATGCGCTTTACCAAAAGTATCAAATAAACTGTTGTGATATCAAACCATTGGCGTGGATAGATAAATTTTATTTGCTAAAAGAGATTGAAGAGGTGGCTTTAGTGGAAACATACGTTTTATTGAAAATGTTACCTTAATATCATCTCAAAAATGCGCTGGCAATGACATTTGTCGCATAGACGTTAGCCAAAATTACAACGATCAAACTGGTAATGATGAGCAAGCTGTTAATGATGAGGCAACATTATTTATTCAAATACATGGAGGTTTCTTGCATCATTATTACAAAGCCAACAACAATGTTGCAATAATAAACAACAACCCCATTAAGCCGCCAAGATATTGTCGCCGCGTTTCTAACGAAATATATATGAATGATTTTTTTTCCTTTTTGCTTTTAAAATGATATGTAAAAAATTGTATATGTATACAGAAGTAAGCAAAAGTAAACAAAATTAGAGAAAATAAACAAAATTGCAATATCAAACAACAAAAGCACGGCCACCTTTATGGAATGTAAATATATAAATACAATCAATAACAATCATTTTCTAATGGAATATAAACAAAAAGTTCCACCTCTATGGAACGTAAATAAAAATTGCAACATCAAAATCACGGTCACCTCTAACCTCCAGTGTGAATAAAAAAAAAAAAAAGATTGAACCAATCCTAATTGCCTAAAAAGCGTGCAAACAAAAATTCAAACCATCTGTCAGATTTGCTAATCAAAACCTCATACTCGGAATCTAGCAATTTGATTCTGGCAATTATTTAGCTATTCAATTCAATACCGCAATACCGCTTGCGGCGCCTGCATATTAAAGCACTCTATCTTACAGGGATTAATTAATAGAATGCAACTGTTTTTCACCCTAATTTCCTTAATTTGTATCCAATGAATGCAAATATTTTAATATTTGAAGCTTTTTGTTAGCGTAATTACTAAAACCCATTAACAGTAATAAATATGACTAACAAAGACAGAGCGAGAGAGAATACATTATATCGTTCCATTATTAATGAGAAAAGTGCAGTGTATGTGTGTACGCGAATATACATATATACACAACAATATATTGCACATAATGTGAAATACACATCCCAGTGAATTTTCAGTTGTTAATTTGCTGAATAAGAGAAGAAGACGAATAACAGGAAAATATACATGTATATATATATTGAAGAGTCTTAACTCCTTTTCTGCCCTTAGCAATATATTGTATACACAAAAGAAAAATAAAAAAAAAAAATAATGGCACGCTTGCGAAGATGCTGTATTGCCTTTTTCCCCACATACAATAACCGCCGGAATCAGCTTAACATAACTTAAACAAAAGAAAAAAAAAAAACTAAGAGAATAGTTTTAAACAAACTTTGGCAACATTTTTAGTATATAAGTACAATAGTTTTTAATAAAGAATTAATTCAACTTTTGAGTTTGCATCGCCAAGCTTGTCTTCGCATATGAAAGTGAAATCAAGATTTTTATTCAAGTTAGCCAGTGACGATCATTTGTCTAATATATTTTGACACAGTAAAGAGTGATACTCTTGGCGGTGAACAGCCGAGCAGATTAGGACTATTTTAAACAAGGTCACCCACCACATCACCTCTATATGTTGCATGAGGTTATCGTTTCCTCACATATTTCAGCAGCAGCAGGTGTATTCCACTTCTTATTCCCGTTTTTTTAATTTTGTTTCACACAAATTTAAAACTTTTTCAAAATTTGCATCTAAATTGTTTCTCTCAAGACACCAAACACTTGTGTTACAAAACCTGTAAGAAAGTTCCATCTGATAAAAAAACCGTTAGCCGGTTGTTTTTTTGGATATGACAACTTAGTGCCAAAAATATCACCCTATGACAATAGAGAGTCGTTCAAAACACGGTAACACAATAAAAAATCGTAACACGTGTAAAACAGAGATGCTTGCAAAAAAATGGTAACACCAAATTAACGCCTAAAACAGAGTTATTAAAATATGTTAAAAACGACAACGAGGCCTGTTAAAAATGACAACAAGAGTATACGCAATAAAACATCGTTGAAAATGATGTTTTAAATAGTTTAAGAGGTCCGTTGCAATAAATATACCAGATAGTAAAATCTTTCAAAAATAACTTTTAGGAAAGTTAAACATATTCGTGCAAATAATTCACGGAGATTGTTCAATTATCGGATAATGGCAAAGACTACCAAATTGTGGACGTTATTGATTTTAATGACACAAACAAATCCCCCTTTGAAGTTGGCATAGATGGAAATAAAATGCTTACGTTTAATAAGAAATTTAAATCATTTGCATTTTTTTTGCTTTACGGCCATCATAACCTACAAAATAATAAGCCACGATTCTTCTCGCATTTCAGAGACAGTTCAAGGACATGAACGTCACGTAACTCGGATTAAATACAATCGCGAAGGAGATTTGCTTTTGTCCTGTTCGTTCGGTTTTAGTTTTTACGGGATTTAAAGAATTATTTCGCTCTGTAAATTATTCAAATATGAAGAGAAATTATTATGGATTATTCTAAGATACGGCATTATATTGTATGTGACCTTCTATAAAAAGTTTTTCTTCAACTCAACAAAACTCAGTTTAAGCAAAAAAATAATTTGTATTAGACGTACAAAAAAAAAAAAAAAAAGGCTTTTCAGTTTAAAAATTTAAGTGGGCCAAGTAAAATAACTAATAGTAATGTTGTCTTATTAAGTAGTTTTAGTAAAATTTTATCAAATTCATTTCAATTAAAACAAATAACGATTTTACTAATCATTATTACATTTTTACCCTTATTACGGAACATTATATTTATTTTAAATCGTGAAGAGGACTTTATGGTATTTTTATATATTTGTACTTTGGTCACATTTTTCCATAATTTTTCCTCGTTTATTAGCTTAGCTTTCATTTTAATGAAGACTAACTTTTACGCATTAGACCACTTTGCTTAAAATAAATTTGCGAAGCACATTAATACATAATTAATACATTGCCGCGCAAAATGAAATTGAATTTCTAGTTACAGCATGCAGTTGCAAAAAATACTTCACGTTGAAAGCATATTTATCGGCTTTACAAATATATTATATATACCACCAAATTATACATATGCAGCTCCCTCTCTCTTATGTATTGAAAAGTCAAATGTAATCAGTGATGTCAAATTTACAATGCTTGCTAGAAGAAAACTCAGATTATTATTATTTGTTCTTGTGTAGGAAGATGCTCTTGTATAACTTTGTTTACTTTTGAAAGAAGATTGCCTGGACTTGTTATTATGTATAAAGATCACCAGGATTACCTGGATTGATGTTGTTTAATTTTGTACGTATTCTAATTTTTTGTTGTTATTTTATTTCAATCCTTATATAATTTTTCACGTTAATGTTGTTTACAGAATATTGATTTGCACCTAACGCTTACGAGCTAATTTATTTATTGGTCACGTGAGAATTTTACCATGATAATTTATATTTTATTGACTGTTTAAGTATAATTGTTTTACAACAATGACGATAATATTTATCATATAGTATTTCATGACCTGGGTAAGTCCAAGAGATAGTTTAGCATTATAATCAGATATTGATTAACAAGTCACGTAGGATATTTTCTAATGGCGCCTCTCTAAAATGCAAAAGATATTCAAAATTTTCATAATCTACGTGCAAAGTAAACGGTGACCCTGAATCCGGTATAGCCAGTCCACTCACCTGATCAAACTTTTCCTGTGTAATCTTTCACGCACGGTCACACGTTGCAAGGGTTGTCAAGGATACAATTTTGTAGCTCGAATGGGAAGTTCTGCCATATTCAGCGGACTCACCGGACATTACGCTCAGATCGGTGCAGTATGGATTAGCTGGCACGCACTTCCGCAAAGTTGTAGAAGTGGGAAAATCGGTCGATAATTGGATCGCTGCCGTTGGCAAAAAAATGCAAAAAAATTGTAGAAAACGATGGGCAATATTTTAATTAAGATATATTGTAGCAATTTTTCCGGGTGAATAACTTTTTGAAACAAAAAAGTGATCAGAATACATGCAAGGACCTGTTAATTAGAACAAATATTTTCCCTACTTGCTTCAATACATGCGAGCTTATGATCTAAGTTATCCGGGAGCCTTTAAAATCAATACTTTGGAAATTTATTTACAAAATACGTAGACAATTAATGGACAAATTTTCCATACTTGTTTACTTACTCATTGGCAGAATTCGAAGGAGAAAAAAGAATTCGCCATGTTGTCATTGGCACGAAATATGGGCAGCGAGCAACAAATCTCTCAAAGACAAGTGTTCATAAATAATGGTAGAGAGGATAATTAATTTATAAAAGATCTGCACCTTTTTTCAACAAGGTAACGCCATTTTGCCAGAACTAGTTCTAGAAAGGGATGGAAAATATTTTGATTAATATATATTATACAAAGTTTTCTCAATAAATGCCTTTTTCCAGTTAAAAAACAATAAAAATTAATGCAATCATCTGTTATCACCTATTACCTGTAGACGACAGAGCAATGTGTTCAACAATTCTTCGTTCTGGCAATGTCGCATTTTGCAGATGTTTTTCTTCTTTTCGACATAGATATGAGCGCTTGCTATCGTTACGTTTGAACATATTGTTCGCATTTGGACAATGCGTATCATGCAAATATCTAAACAATGATTTGATGGCATTGTATTTAATCGTGTTCAGCGCTTAACAAATACATTCGGAGAGAACAGAGTCTTCCACGTATTTGGAAAACTAACGACTATATTAGAAAAGTTAATGAACCTTTGAGTCATATACTCTTTTTTGATGACAGCAAATTCGATCCAGCATTCCAGTATTCAGTACACTACGCAGAATATCAATAAAAGGCATCACACTCCAAATTATGTAGCGATATTTTCTAAGCTCGATAATGGAGTAATCACAATGAAAGGTTGCAAGATTAGACGAAAAAGCGAATTTATCTAAAAAGATTAATCGAAAATACGAAATTACGAAAAGTTAGGTTGGGAAAAGAAGAATGTGGCGGCAAATGCCATGAAATAGCCATAGTTACATATCATGTGAAATTTGAAATTGATCCACCTTGTAAACTAACCAGGTTTCTACACAATTGCTAAAGAAAATGAAATGGTGTAAAAGAAAAGCAGCAAAAGTTTGAATCACGTCAGATATGTCATTTAAAAGTCAAATATTTACGAATATTACAAATTGTATGCATAAGCCATTACCGATCTTCCAATTTTACATCACCACCTCTGATCACGACGGTTTGTACTGTACAACTATTCCTCAACCTAGTGATGGGAATGTCTAGGCAAGGAAACTGCGTGTGAAGAATTAACCTCTAATCTTTTAACGGGATTCGCAAAATTACGATTACGAGTATCTTAGCTTGAGTACGTTCGACATCTTCGTTGCAAAAGGCATTATTTTAGGAATTACTTATAGTAAGCGGGTAATTTTCTGGAATACTTGCAAAAACTTATTCATTTTACACCCATCTACGATCTTTTAGAGTTGAACTATGGACATGAACGAATAAATATGTATTTGTTCGGTTTCAATTACTTTCCTCTATAGCACATGTTTTCCTGCAAATATATAAAAAGCAATAACAATAACGCAATTGTTTAAACAACAAGCACAACTAATGCGGGGGTATTCCAAATTTTATCAACTTCATGGGCTATAAATGCACTTGTTTTATAATGTAATGTAGTATAGAGCTGCCAAGTTTTTCAACATACAGCTTCCAAAGAAAAAATCATCATTATAATATTTGTAGAAAATACGAATTGTTCATTATGCATATACATGCATTTGTTCTTTTTGTTAAAAAATCTGGTAAGGAAAATTAATTAAAAAATGAATGCATGGAAGCTATGGAAATATAGAGGAGTGTCGACTTAAGCTTCAGATATAGGTTATGAACGCAGTTTTCTTTTTTTCCGATATGCTTCTACCTGCCATGTATGATTACTAAATTTTGTTTTCTCAGCAAAAGAAAGCCATAGAGAAAAAGCTTAAGTTAATATATATGGGATGACATATGAGAACCTTCTAATTCGAAAATTTAAAATTGATCTCCTTTTACTGACGGGATACAGCTTTTTAAAAACTTTTACTAAGCTTAAGATAAGTAGTTTTTTTTAGTAATTTATTGGTCTTTTGCGTAAATAATTTCTGAAACATAATTTTTTTATGTAAGCTCAACAAACTGTTATCTTGATTTGTTAGAAAAATCATTATTTTGGTGATGCGGTTTTAAATTACGATAGCAAAATCGCTAAAAAAATCCGGTCTTGAATGAGAAAGTTGGCAGCTCTACAATTCTCTGTAAATCTGAATTAGGCCACTTTTTTTTAACTCGCATTAATTTATTTTAATTTATAAGTAAGATTAAAGACGGGAGTGTCGCGTAAATTGAACGCTTGATTTAAGGATTGTGTAAAATTGTTTTCGTTTGAAAATTTCTTTAAAAGATGTCCCGATTGTTGAAAGCTGCGAGTAAACTGTTCCAAAAACATCCTTTTCTTACAAATAGTGGAATTTATGGTTGTTTGTATGTAGGAGCAGAGTATTCTCAACAATTGTTATCTAAAAAAATATTAGTAAGTACGCTCATATATATATCAATAATGTTCTTTTTCGTCTCGTCACAATTTTTTAACATTAATGTTAAAACACAACACTAATACTTAAATTGAAGAACATGAAAAACTTTTCGATATTCAGGTGCATCGTTTTGAAGCCGAGAAAAATGAAATTGATTATCCCACCATAGGTCGGTATGCTGTTGTTGGAACCCTTGCTTATGCACCATCCCTATATATCTGGTTTGTTTTCATTTTTATTTGTTTTTAAAATTACATACACCAGTCTGATATGTCCTTACTCTGCGCACGCTATAGGATTTAAAAAATGTTCTCATTTTTTGCCATGACAGTGTATGAATAGTTAAAGGATTTAAAAAATGTATGCAAAAGAGAAATGTTGAAGCCAGCGTTGCCATTAAAATCTTCTCTGAAATGCTTTATTTCAATTACAGTAAATAAAATAATTTTTTTAATTTTTTTTTTTTTTGAAAGAAAGTATCTCAATTTTGTTATTTCCTGTATACGGGCATACAAAACCTACAATCTCCTAATCAGCATGAAATTCTCATTTAACTTAGTCTTATAAACTCCCGGTTAAATTTACGGCTTACGCATAATAACAAATTTTTCGAAAACAATGTGCCATTGGTCAACACGTAACGTAAGAAAATAGTCAACGAAATGTGAAGACTATATTTAAATTTTATTGGACATAACATAATCAGTCTCAGCTTGCATCTAACGCTTAAAGGGATATCATTTAATAATTTTCGGGATGTAGTACAGTGGAATCGATTTATTGTGTTACAAGTCGAGAAGACAAAATTGCACCAACCATTGCTCCACATCTGATCTTAAGCAATTATTATCTCATTGCAAATCTGAAAAGCATGTAAATCGAAAAATATGATTGAATTCAAATGATGCTGTAGCCGATGCGTATTTTTTGAGTTTTGACAAATTGTTCTACAGAAACATTTTAGAGAAACGTTGAACTTGATTACTTTTGGAGGAGACTACATTGGTGAATGAATTTTCTTTTATATAGTCTCGCAAAATATTGGTCCTTTTATTAAATATAAAGCAATTTTATCCGCCTGAGTGGCCGAGTAGGCAAGAGTCTTGACTAGCAACTCAATGGTCGTGGGTTCAAATCTCAAGTGCGGTAGAGTTTTTAATAAAGGCGAAAGCCTTAGATGCTAGCGCTTTAAGACTTTAGTCTTAGAATTTATTCTCTGGCTAAATTTATAATAATAATAATAATAAAGCAATTTATATGAAAGCCTGCATTACTGTCTTCGCGTAATCATTCTAAATTTTTATGTTGCAAAATAGTATTGGAATAGTATTGTTTGTTTCATTTATCCCTATTTGCTAATAGGAATCTTATTATCAGATGTGTTATAACAATTGTTTGTTATATATATACAGTTGTTTCGGCAACGCTGTCGCGAAATATTTTCTAATTTGGTGTGAGAGTGAGAATGATGGTGTGTGAGAGAGAGAAAGAGAGAAAAGGAGAAAAAGAGAGTGATTGAGTGAGTAATTTAAAGCTGAACAAAGCAACAATTTTCGCACTCTGAAAGCTTCGTTTTATCACTTGTTTTAAAGCACATATTATAGTAAGCTTCAGCACATCAAAAATCGCGACAGGCATCGCCATCAGCACTATATATGTATAAATAATTAATACTTGCGTAAATAAATACATATTTGCTTTCTTCTTTTGCACACTAACTCATACTATTCCTTAATTTAATTGTATGTGCAATCACAATAATAACCATTGAATTACGCTTAAGTATATTTGACATCTTACCTTATTTTATTTGTAAGGTATAAGTGGCTGGATGGTAGATATCCTGGTACAGCCCCTCGAACTATTGTTAAGAAGCTAATATTAGATCAATGCATTTTGACGCCGTACTTGTTGTGTGTTTTTTACGTTGGTAAGTAAACGCATGCGAACTTGTTGTATTTATTAAACCTAGTTTGTGCATGTGTTCTCAGTTTATGTTTTACTATAAACGTGTCCTTTGATCGATGTAGCCCATTTCCAACACTATTCTAATTTTGTGTAATTCTTGCGGCCAGATTTTGCAGAGATATTACAGTTCTGCATAAGCTTTGGTTAAGGTTATGGTTCGTAAAGAAATTCGTAAATGCGATTCTGCGATTACCTTTCTAAAATGTTGTGTGCGCAATTCCTTAACTCTTCTAAATTTCAAAATCTAAGTCTATTTTGTTTTTTTTTATTTTTATAACGTATGCAATGCCCAACAGGAAGATTCAGAAACCCTGTAAGAGAAATATATTCTTAATTAGCGTGAAATTCTGATTTGATTAAGCCATGTCTGCCGACGTGTGGTGTTTATTGCTGGCACTCTACTGGTCGCAAAAATGGAGGAATCGACTTCAAATTTAGTAGAAAGATTGGGAATTTTTACATCCAGGTTCGTATCGAAAATAGCCCAAATTAGTCAGAGCAGAAGGACGCAGCAGAGCGTAAAGTGAACGCAACCCCGCTTTTAATGGACAAAAATCTGCGGGTTTTTCCTCGTTACTCAGATAGTATAAAAGTTAGAAGGCGACAATTTTCCCCATTTACTTTAGGAAATACTCTGCTCTTTGTGTACAAAAATGGAAGAAATCCATTATGCCCACACAAAGTTATAACTGATTAAATTTTGTTTTGTTTACTTATATAAGGTTATATACTGATTTATCTGAATGCAAACAAGACAGAATGTTTAAAATTATTTTGTACATTCCTCAAATGAAGATGTATGATCTCCCTAAGAATGGGCTAATTTTAAAATGAATATGGTAGAGACCGCGACTAATTTTTTGTTAATAATACCAGTGATATGGGTATCAAATGAAAGAATTTGTATGCTAGAATGCACACATACATACAAACACATAGTGGCGGGTATGCGAGACTTCCCCGCCGAGACCCGCCGAATATAACTTTCTTACTTGTTTAATATGAGATTGTCGTAGAACTCTGTGAGGACACCCAAAGTCGTACCTCGTTTTGGCCTCACAGGTTCTCCGTCTCTGACTGGGAAGAGAGGAAGTCCTAGAGATTAAGACAGCATTAGAATAGTATAGGCCTAGCATATGAGTAGGATAGACATAGCATAGGCATAGATTAAGATAGAATAGGAATAGATTACGAATAGAATAGACCAGATTAAACGTAGGCTAAGGATAGTTTAAGAGTAGGATATAAAAGATAGGTTAAGTTAGCTGAGTTTTAGTCTCCGACTAATGAAGTTGAGTTGTGGTCGTAGATTCGAAGAGACGCGTTTGAAAGTAAAGTGTAACGAAGTGATAAAAATAAAGGTCGCTGCAACCAATAAATTTCTTGTGCGTTTCCATTGCCCTGGGCCGTTGAGCTGCCCCAGCCATTAGGAAAGGGACGGAAACGGCCTCACAACTCATTTGAAAAACGAAAAGAGTTGGTTCTTAAATCATGCCTAATTGAAAATTTACAATTTTTTTTTTTGTTAGTGTTATTTGAAAGTAAAGCAAGGAAAATTTTTTTTTAAAGCCCAATAAAAATTAATTATAAAAAAACATAAGTTCAAAATTCAAATAAGCCTCAACGTGCACTGATTAAGTTTAAACATTATGTAGTGGGGATATATGACGTAACTTGAAATGGTTAATTTCCGAATAGCTGTTCGTCAGGCCAATAGATAACTATTGCAGGGTCTCACGCTATATATATATATATATATATATAGCATATATACTATAGCGTATATATATATATATACTATTGTGTCCAAAAAGTAAAGACAATTTAATTTTTTCTTTTTTAAATGTTTTTTCGCCCTTGGTTTTTTCGCCTTGGTGGTTTCGCAGTTAAGAGTTTGGCCAAGTGGAAGGAATGCGTAGAATTCAACACCATGATAATCGAAGAAAACCGTCAAAATCACGTTGATTTTTGAGCGACTTTGGCCGGGTACTTCGGTTTTGGTTCATCTTTTGCTCGATACTTGGTCGATTGACTGGTTATTTCCGAGTCGTATGCGTGTATTCACGTCTCATCTCCTGTAATAATGCGGCTCATGATCGATAGATAGGTAAAAATCATCTCCTCACATACATTATAAAAATCGGAAAATGTATTTTTTTGTGTCGTACGAAACCAAGCGCATCTGAATGACGTTTATGATGCGAAATCAGACACACATGTCTGTCACAGTTTTGCCAATTTAGAAAAAAAAAAAAAATAAATAAAATTATATTCGAATTATCCGCGCAATATAACCCAAATATTACTCTGACTTTTTAGGTACAGGGTTAACTCAAAAAATTACAAGCTAACATTGCATCTATTTTTTTTTCTTTTAAATGATAAAAACATCAGTAAAGATGTAATCATGACTGAATAAATTTTATGTTTATTTTGGATCACATAAAGTGTGTGCTTTTAAAGTAACACTAAATCGAAACGAAATTTCGATATCAATGCCTTTCCAAGAAGATGAGTTGCGCTAAGAGGATTTTCGCATTTTTCTATATATCGTTTCTCGTAACTTTCGACTTTGATTTCACAGATTTCTTTATAAATTGTTATCGCTTGATTAAAATTTCGCACATTCCTCTTCAATATTCAGTTTTATGTCTCTTATCTTTTCATATTTAAAAGTGGCTTTGTTACATATCCCAGACGAACGTTTGCTCCGTTCATATTTTCGTTACCTTCTTTGATATAGTGTAGGACGTTGAATTCAGAAAAATTGATATTGATTGAAATTTGAAGTTTGGTTACATTGTAGAAAGAATAATAAATTAACATGAATTATTCGTATGGCTATTTAAGAATATTACATATAATTGCTTACAAATGCAAAGTAATTAAAGCATATTACAATTTACACGTTCAATATGTACGATGTACATAGCGAAGGACAATCTATAAATAATCTCTAATTAAATTTAAATATTACAGAATGGCTTGTAATAAAATAGTGTATGTACGTACGTACACGTGTACGTTTACAACATGTCGATCGATGAGAATCTTGTTAGACAAGCAACAATTTAGATTTACATTTTTGCTTTTGTAATTTGATAATTTTTGTATATAATGAGATCATATTAGTTAGTTACTTTGGGCTTTGAACTGTTAATAGAAAAGTCCCTAGAGTCAATAGCTTATTTTAGTATATTCGCAAACTTTTGATATGGATTAGCACAGTTATCCCATACTGGGATAGGCATATAATACCATCGATCGGAAAACGATTTTACATAACCGAATCTTATTTACAGCACTCAACTTAAAATTTCGGTTTGTTAAGGGATATACTATTTTCAAGTCAATAGTGTATTTGTTTTTGATATGCTGAATATTACGATTGTGGAAAATAAACTTTTTTTTTATATAGTATAATTTCCAAGTACTTAATTTGATTTGAGAAAGGAAACCCATGATCTTGATTTGTCAAACCACATATAGAGTCTGGACTATTGTCATACTAACATTAGTCTACTAACAAATTTTGAAATTATTAACCGCGATAATTGGAAATAAAAGTAGTCTTGCGATGTGAAATATAAAATGGGTTTATTGTGACTTGCGTTCAGCTGGTTAAGCTCATCCCGATCAATTTCCCTCGATTATTCGGTAGAGATAATGTACACGCCTCTTGGATTTTGAGAAACCTTTGAAGCTAGAAATACTGATACACAGCCCACACTTGAGTAAATTCCGTGTAAAAAATTTATAATGAATCCCGCTGAATCCCGAATTTTATCTCACATTAATGAAAAAGTTACTCCAACCGAACCAAATTTTTTATATCAATGTAGAAAGTCGAGATACTATTACAATACCGCGAGTATTGGCGAAAAGTGTTGAAATTTGCATTTTGCATGTCAGTGTGTCAAATTTCATCAAAGTATTCTAAATATTGCGGTTTGTTTGTCGAAGACACGAAAACAAAACGAAAAGACGGCCAGACGAGCTTAAATCGATCGGTGTAATAAAAGATGGATGTATCTTAAGTTCTTCGAAATGTTACATACGTCCGTATAAACTTAATATACTCTGTAGTGCAGATGGTGTAGGCTATAAATAATAACGAAAAAGTCAAAATTTAAAAACTTTGTAGTTTAGTTAGTTTGTTACCATAAAACCGTAAAGCAGGCCTTCAATTTTCCTTTAATGTCCTTCTTATTCTCTTTGCTTGACGATTTCACGTATTGCGAAATGGCAAAGAAAATGTGAAGAAAATTTATCATTTTATAGCCAAAGCTCGGACTTCGTCCAAATTAACTTCAGCCTTATAACTTTCAATTGAACTTACACACACATTTTAATGTCATCTGTTCGAGGATTCGAGAAGATCGAAACCATAACAGATGTAGCATTAGATGTAGGCTGTACCTTTCGGCAATTTGCTTGATCCAAATATACTTTTTGGAGACTGGCTGACGGAATTTTAAAGAAGCGATTTTGTTTCTCGCATTCTAGCCTTTTGGAGATTCTATTGGGGCAACAAACAATATTGAAGTTCCGAAAAATTTATTAGATTAATTAGATAAATTCGGCCCATCGAAATTAGTTGGTTTAGAAAACGCATTTCACGCGTTCAATTATTCCGAAATTTCAGGTATAAATAGCTTAGGTGTTGTCATATTTACGGTATAGTAGATTTCGGTTGCGTACAAGCTACCGGTAAGTGTACAATAAAGTGCAAAAATATTGATAATGCAACACAGTAAGCGATTTTGAACTTGGCCTGCGGGCGATATCCAGATTATGGCATATACTCTCTAGGTCTGGCTCCTTTTTATAATCACTTGACCAGTTCGATACGGTCATATCGACGTAACACAAATTGAATATGTCGGAAAATGAGTCTATGGCTATTTCATTTCACAGCCAAGAAGTTTCTACCGCCGAGACATCCATTTCGGTTATTAAGCTTTATAACAAATACATTTTAAATAAATGTTGAATTTTGTTGAAGAAAACAAACAGAATTTATTTGCATATCTATTACGGTCGTGTCATCCATTAGGATTAAGAGTAGTTACGAATCTTGATTTACTTGCACGTTGAGGCTAATCTTATTACGAAGAAATTTTATTTTTCTTAATCGGACGTAGAATTTTTTATGGAAAATTTCCGCAAGTTCGAAAACTAAGCATTCATCGGATGTGATTACGAGAGTCTATTTCTTACCAAAATAAAATTGGAATCATGTGAAGTGAACTCCATTTATCTCTTTATCTATCGATCTGTGTTAAGTTCGTTTTTCTTCTTAGGATTACCAGATCATCATTTGTAAGTCGCTACTGGACCACATTTATTATAAAATTTCTTCATTACTTTACGAGTTTTAGCAGTGGCTGTGTTGCTTATGCTTTTCCTTTAATTAATATTTGAATTGTTCGAGAATCAACATTTGGAAAATTTTCAAAATAATACTTTAAAAATTTTTAATTGTGCCTAGTACACGCTGAATATCAAAGCTTACAGCGTATTTGTTGAAATAATGAAACCAACGGAGGCGCAAAATCAAACGAAATAAAAATTAATTGAATCGCTTCGTAGACATATTCGTTTCCAAGCATATTTATATAGATTAAGACGCGTAAAATTCCATGAAATTATGCCAAAATATTCATGAGAATTATATTAATGTCTTAGGTAAAAATTTCGTCAATTATTTATCGGGAATAAATTATTTGCGCAATAGAAAACAATATTGTCTGCATAGTTGCTGAAGAATAGTGAATACTATGAAAGTCTATTGTTCTTTCTAATCACATTTATTTATTTTTTACAGGCCTGGCGTTACTGGAGTCTGCTGATAATAAGTTTGAAGAGTTGCGTTTCAAATTTCTGCCTACTTTTAAGGTATCATGTATGTTTTGGCTGCCAGCGCAAACGTTTAATTTTCTTATAATACCTCCGCGTTTTCGAGTCATATACATGGGTGTTTGCGGGTTTATGTGGGCGAATGTGTTGTGCTGGTTTAAACGACAACCGCAGTAATATGAAAAGGCAGTTTGGTTATATATCTTGCGATACATGTAAAGAATTTAAATCGTTCTTAAAAGAAATTTAATATTAAATGCTCTTAGAGCTAGCTGCCTTCATATAGTGCTATAAGTAATTTTAATAAAACTTTCAAGTTTCTGTTTTCTGAAAAGATGAAATTTTTGCCTTATTTTAATTTATTGCACATGCGTGCATGTGCTTGTTTATATGATTTGAAAAAAGGTACTTAAGATATTTTATTTAGATTTTGTTTCTTTGTAGTGACCATGAATTTTTTAGTGTTTTGCTGAATGAATATACCGTTTGTATATCGCGGCTTGGTGACCAGAACCCAGACTGCTAGTTTATATGTATACATATGTACAAGGAGGATATATGTGTATGCATGTGATAAAGTATTTGTTTATTTGATAAACATTCTACTTTCAAAGTTGAACAACAGATTGCACCTGCAATGAAAAAGTGGTTGTAGACTGTTTTATGAAACTCTTATGCTAGTACTTAAATGAATTCTCTTCGACTACCCCTCCTCCCCCCCCGTCTCCTACAGCTTTTGGAGTTGGTCTTCTTATTTGCTTCCGCTTGTTTGTGCAAAGCGGAAAATTAATTCCATCTTCGCTTGTTTCCGTTTATCTTGTAAAACACAGTTTTGTCGTTGTTTCCATTGTTGTTTTTCCATTTCTACTCTTTATTTTTTTTCTTTTTTTTTTGGTTTCTTCTTGCCACCGCATTAGCTTCCGAGACTGCTTGTACAGCTTTCTGCCTTATTTTCATACATCGTACTTATCGTTGTTGGCTGTGAGAGCGTGTACAAGTCAAGTACATTATTTTGGTCATTTCGTTTTTTCTATAAATAGCCATTTGTGTATGACACGGTAAGAATATCTTCAGCTTTGTCATTTCGTTTAAGGCACAGAAGAAACTTAACTTAACGAAAAAAAAAACTTATTTAGACTCTGAGCATATTCTGAACTAACATAGGTTTTATCAAAATTTTAAAGCCTCCAATGAACCAAACATTTTGAATTTATAGCGAAATATAAAAATGAAAATAGAAGAAAACGTGTGTAACAAAGCATGCGCAAAGTCGAATTTAGTTATAAGAAAAAGCTGTTTATTACATCGATATCCAGATCTGTTGTGGTTTTTATCTTTTTTTTTTTTTTTTTTTTTTTTATTTTGTAAATAAAAATGATGGTAAAAAGTTGTTGTTGCTGTGTTAATAAAGTTAACTTTTTCTTGATGCCAGCCGAATAAAACCGTCGTCGCCAAGGTTTGTTGTTAGCATGTTTGTTCGCCTTTGCTCAGTATTATTCTTTTCATAGGAAGGAAGTGACCAGAATTAGTTTTACGTATGCGTGTATGTGTGTGGAAGAAAAAAAAAAAAAAAATGAATAACAACAATAATTTCACTGTTGCAAAGCGTTTGGGTGTACCATGAAATTATTTTAATTTAATGTATAAATATTAATTTCGAAAATTAATTTTCACATTCCTTTAGACGATAATGTTTATGTATGTTGTGTGTACGCATGGGTCTGGGTGTCTTCGTTTTTTTATAATTATTCCATGCATTTCATTAAATAACTTTTTCTTCTCGAGTACTGCATATTTGCAAGCACCAATACATACACGAGGCAAACACACATCCATATCCACACCTACACCCACATCCACACACGCATAAATACACTTTTCTTTTTGAAGTGCATAATAGTTGTAAAACTATTTAATTGCTGTAAATTTCTTATGGAACTACTTGTTAAACCTTGGCACATAATTTCTTGGATATCACGTGCCACGTACCAGCACCGTCGTCACCACCTTCCCTCTCAATTTCCCTCTGCTATTAATGCGCTTTCGTTTCTTTTTCATTTTCATTTATTTACACACTAACCCCCTTTGAGCAAACAACTAGTCGGTAATTCGTAATTACCGTTAAAACAAATACATGCATAATAAGACTAAAACGACCTATTAATAGTACTTAACGCAAAAGAAACAAGCCACTATATGTTGTAAGACCCCGGCATCCTTAGCAATGCTATTACCGACATCGCCACCACAAGGATGCGGTACAGTTATTTGAAATGAAGATCATGTGCTAGGTAAACACACTTTCGCAGAGTAGATAAGCGAAAGCAAAGAAGTTAAAGAAGGATGTATAAATCAATGAATGAATGAACGATTGAATGAATGAATGTGAATTCTTGGCTTATTTGTTACTTATTTGGTTATCTTTCTTTTGGCAGCACCGTTACAGCAGGAAAATGTAAAGAGCTTGTAACTCATATTGAAGAAATCCGAAATCAATTTTTCTTCAGTACATATTTGTTCGTTCGCGTTTACGTTTACTTTTCTTATTGCCCAACTACACACAAAACCAATCCATTCATACACACATATACAAAACGGCTAAACATCATCATTCATTTTCATTTCTTACCTGGATAAAAGACGTTCACATTATTGCTACCCAATAACGTGAAGACCTTGTGATTGCTGACGATGTGGTTCTTCCTTATGCACTAAATAAAGTCCTGAGATACTGGAGCTATGCAATGTATTTTCAATTTTCTGTTATTTTGCTTTTTCAGGAAAAATTTAGTAAACATTATGCTTAATTAGTCGAAATTGTTAAATGTATGTAATCATTACCGTACACTATTGCGTTTCTAACTGAAGGAAGAGTAAACATTGGAAATGAATTTCTTTAAAAAGGAAGAAAGAAAATAAATTGAAAATTATGAGAATTGCTTTCAGCAATTTTCGTATACAGGCTGACATTGTTGAGTCGCCGATAAATTTATCACTCATATAGTCTAATTTAGATTTTAAAATATTCATATTGTGTGTGAGAGTCGTTATATAGTTTTTTCGAATAGTTTTTCCTAGAAAAGTAATTAATTAGTTCAGTTTGGAAATTATGACAACCATTAAAGGATAGAAATGTTTTCGGTTAACTGGTTTTTCGCAGTACCCATCCTCTTAGCCTCTTAGTTGACCATGAACCCAGTTTAAAAATAAGAGTGCGTTCTTACTTATTACTTATAAACCCTAAGCTATGTATTGGATATTCTCTATAGCGCGAGCAACAAACTAATCTCAAAATGTTCGTAATCTCAGCAAATAAAAAATTTACAATATTTAACTGATTCTGTTTTGAGGTTAATGGGTATCAAACATTCTTTGTACGGTGAATATGTTCTTACAGGTTTTTCTATGCAAAGCATTGGTAAAAGTTGAGTAAAATTTCCAAAATCCAATAATCGCAAAAATAATTCGGTAAAAATGCTACGCTGATGCGCGTATGCTGGAGTGAAAGATCATCATCTAGGTTTACCGCGATAAAGTTAATAGGCGCGTAATTGTTATTAGATGGTCATGAATAGTATTTCACATCTCAGATTGATTTTTATTGTAGGTGAAATGCTGCTGTTACTAGCGTCTTTTTAGTTTCTAAGAAGATATTTGCATTTGAGTTCGCTTCGATTTTGAAATGGTTCGACTTTTGAATAAGCAAGAATAGATTTTTTCAAAATTTTTAGAATACATTAATTCACGGATAAGCCAGCAAACAAGTTCACATTCGAAACATCGAAATGTTCACAAAAATGCGTTTTGATGCTTAACGTTAGCGGGTATAATCAGTAAACTTCTATCAGTCAAGCTTTAAGAGGGCTATAATTTATTAACATTTTATAAAGTATTTTATTTGTTAATGAAAAAGATAATAAAGACTATAGGAGACGCCCAGCTGAATCCAGAGAAATGAATATGAAAAATTAAGTAAGTAAGTCAATTGACTGATTGTAAACAAACTCATATTGAAATAAAAAAAAAAAGAAAAGAAATTATATTCGGTCTTTGGCCGAATTTTGTCAACGTCAACTTCTGTATGATAGCAACGAAATTGAAGTGAGATTCATATATATATATATGTATATATATATATATATATATATATATATATATACA